ATCTATAGGATTTGAGGGTTTACACGGTTTGGCGCTCGGAAGTTGCACATTACAAGGCTCATCAAATGTCGTATCGCAAAACTGGTACAGAATGGGAAATTTTAGGAGATTTGGCAGCAAGGCTACATCATAAGGTAATAATAGATATTATATTATTCATTTATAAAATTCGTATCTATGTCAATATAAATAATTGACTCAACAAAAATTAGGACGATGCCAAAGATGCATACACACGTTGTCTTGATAATAAATTTTCGGCTAAAGCCTGGCTAAGGCTGCTGGAATTTTATGCAGAGGAAGGAGATGTACAACATGCTTTGAATGCTGTAGTAAGATTATCTGTATACCATGAAAGATGGTATCATGAAATAATTGTAAGTTATTTTATTCCTTGATATTATTAATAATAGTTCATTGCTTAATTTTTCATATTTACAATAACTTTAGTATCCAACCGCTATTGCATATAATCTTAATAAATTGATTCGAACCGAGGGGCTTTCTAAAATACATTACAATCTTATCTCGATGAATTTAACACCGCCTGTAGCCAAGTTGGTTACAAGATACCTTATGTTTGCCGAAAATTTTAAAACTCCTGGATCGGATTTTTAATTTCCCTGTTTTCGCTATAACCTACTAATGATACATATTAGAAAGAATCAAACTAATACTGGAATTTTCAGATGCCAGCACAAAAATCAAAAATTTTTATCATAGAATGTAGGACTATTTTTTAAAAGGTAATTTGCGTGAATCTGTATGTTTTTAGGATTATAATTTATATATTATATATTTTTGGAGAAGTATATTGTTTTTTTTTTTAAATTTATACATTCTACTATCATTAATTATAGAGAAATAAATGATTATTCTCGCGTAGAAAATGTATATTCATTTGTTTAAAATTAAATTTTAATATTATTATTAATAAATAAAAAAAGTATGTTGGTGCTTTTTAAAACTTATATAATAAATTCGTATTTGGCAAGGATAACGTTGGATTTTTCAAAGCTACAAATTAAATATATTGGTTATGGAATAAGATTTTATTTTTTTATTATAAGCAAATTTAAGATTTGCAAATAAATTAATACTTTATTAGTATATAATATAAGTAGTATCATTACTTCTGGCTTATTAAAACTAAAAAATAATTTTTTTTTATATATAAAATTTTTTAAATTTTAATAGAGAATTTCTATTTGTACACTAGTGTACGCATACACGTATAATCAATATCTCAAAATTTCGTCTATGAAACTGCTTTTGGGGCTCTAATAAAAAAAATTCCTTGCTAAATTTTGCATACATTTAATGCCTAGATAAAACCCCAGGCCTCACCCTAACCCTAATCTTAATCAGGGTTTATTTTTTATAAAAATTAGTTTACGATTTACCTAAATTACGTACTAGTGTACAAACACTTAGTGTAAATTAAGTAATTTTCATTTTAATAATTTCTTTATAATTTTTTTATAATATATAAAGTAGATTTTAAGTTATATTTTAATATATATTTTATTTTTTATTTTTAATTTTATTTTTTTATAGCTTAAATGATTTTGCTCTTTATTTATTAAAAGAAAACATATAAAATGTTATAACAAAAAATATAAATTAAACTAAACTATTTATATAATTGTCTTCTTTATCTAATTTTAAATTTATTTAGCTATCTAGAATACCTAAGTATGATCTGCTACAATAATATATTTTTCTACTAAAAGAGTAGCTTGTCTATGTAAAAACATATTCTAATAATCAATAAAAAACTATTATATATTTGTATTAAAATTATCTAATTATTTTAAAACTTAACTAATTGTCTATTTCTTATCTTAATATCTGCTAATTTCTGTATTTTTTTTTTTTTATTTTTGCTCAACTCTTTTTCTTTTTTCTTTGTTAGACTTTAGTTTCTTTGTTAGTTTAGTTTTTATTTAATCTACTTTTTTTTTTTTCTAATTAGCTTTATTTTTTTAGTTTTCAAATTAATACTATTCTTTTTTTCCTATCTAGTATTACTTTATACTGAAACTTCTATAATTTATTAAAAAAATTAGATCAAAAAAGTTTTGTAAACTAGCAAATTGCTTTTTTAGCTTTAGAACTAAATACTAAAATTTCTTTAATTTTTTTTAAAAGTCTAATACTTGTAAGGCTATATATATAAAATCTTCTTTTATTATATATAATTTCTATATTAGTTTTTAGAAAAGATCTCTCTAGTTCTTAATTAATACTTGTAATTTTCTATTTATTATATATTTTTACTTCTAGTATTTTAATAATGTTTTTCTTGATCTTTTTTTATATATTTTGATATATTTGATAGTCTGCTAAATATTTTAAAAATTCTACTTCTACAAAATATACTATACATATTTTGCTCTTATATAATACTAGGCTTTTTTGATAACAAATATTATTTGAGGTTTTTGTCTTGAAAATGACCTTACAGGACATAGTAAATTATATGATCAAAACTTGATTTTCAAAGCAAAGACCCTATTTGTTAGTAGGAGCTTATTTATGCACTTTATTCTAAATAATAAAACTTTATTTTTTTTGAAATATATATATTTTTTTCTTTGTAGTTTTTTTAAAATATTTTATATATTTCTCTAATTTAGTTAATTATTATTTAAAACTTCTAATCTAAAGTTTACAACTAATCTAATACTATTCAAATTTGTTTAAATATTTTTGTAAATAGTTATTATAGTCAGATTTACAAATATTTTTAATATATAATCTATTATTTTGTTTTTTTATAGCAGTATTATTCTTATTATATTAGTTATTACTTCTTATACTTTTAGAATTAAATTAATAAGAGCTTTTCTTTTACAAGACTATTTGCTTTGTTATTTCAAAAGCTTATACTATAATTTTTAACTTTAATTAGCTTTAATTTAATCTTATTTGACTTGTAGCAATCTGTAATTTAGCTAATTAAACTATAGTTTTTGATCTTGAAATTATTTTTTATACTTATTAAGTTTTTGAAGTTTTGTATTTCTTCAATAGTTACTTTGCTATTTAAGTATATTCTAATATTTGCTTTATAAGATACTACTAAAAAAGCTGTTTAAATTATATCTAGTTCAGTATAAATTAAAAAGAGCTAGTTAGCTATTTTATATTTAAAGCTTATACTATTATTTTTATTAATCTTATCTGCTAAGACTAATTATATATTTATTTTTTGTTTCTCTTTTCTTTTGTTTCTTTTTACTACTAAAAATCTATCTATATATATCTAAGACTTTTTTACTTTTAAACTTCTTACTAATTCTACTTAACTTATCCTATAAGTTCTTATCTTCAATCATTTTTTGTATTATTACTTCTTTAATTTTAATTTTATTAATCTTTAGCTCTTCTATATTCAGATCAAGATTGGTTATATTAGCTTTTTTTTATTTCTAAATAAGCTAATAGCAGGATTTTCATACTATAATAATATTTTTTTAATTCTTTATTATATCTTTACTATACTTATATTTTATTATTAGTATTTGTTATTTTTTTATTTTTTTTTTTTTTCCTTTTACAGTCACGTCATTAACTTTTTTAAGTTGCTAACTACGGCCTTAGCCAAGTTACATGATTTAATAATCTACTTAACTTCCTAAGTTTGACATCACCCA